AGGTAAAATCATGGTTCTGCCATCACCTCCCTCTGTGACTCTGGGAAAGTAAGTCACTTCTTCTATCTGGGTTGCAGGTTACTCACTTACCAGATGAAGGAGTCAGACTCTGCTTCAATCATTTTTCGTCATGTCCGACTCTCTGTGATCTCATTTGGGGTTTTCTTGGCAAAGATGCCATTTCCTTCTTTACCTCATTTTACAGATGAGGAAACTGAGACAAACAGGGCTAAGTGACTTGCCCCGGGTCACTCAGCTGGTGTCTCAGGCAGGATTTGAACTCATGAAGATGAGTATTCTGATCTCAGGAACTGGCGCTCTATCCATTGCACCACCTAGCTGCCCTAAAGGATTTAGCCTAGCCAATTCCTAAAGCTCCTCCTAGGTCTAAGTCTATGATCCTAATAATTCCCACTTGTGCACTCCAGCAGATATAGGGACAGCCTTGCCAGAATCAGGAAGGCCTGGATTCAAATCCTGCCTCTGACACATACTAGTCATGGATCCTGGATGCATCGCTCAACCTCCCAGTCCAAGGCAACACTCTACAAGAACATAAGCAAAACTGGTGCTGATCCGCATTAGTCAGGACTTTCCTGAGTGCTTTCATTCTGAACTGATGAAAGCCCCAGTGAATATCTACTGTATAAACATCTCACACACACACACACACACACACACACACACACACACACACACAGAGCAGACTTCTCTTTAAAAATGACAAAGTACTTTCTTTACAACAGGCTGGTCAGGTGCCTGGTTTCATGACACTTAAAACTTCATTGGCAGATGGAGAAAGAGTCTAGAAGTTAAATGACTGGTCCCAAGTTTTCCAGCTCCAAGGTGTCAGCCAGAATTCTGAGCCAGATCTGTTCCAACTCCACGCCAGAGCTCTTAGACTAAGCTCTCAGAAAAGCTCACGTTTAGGCAGCAGCAAGATTTAGACAGCTCTTTCTTCACTCACTTTTACAGAAAAGGGTCAGAGAAGTCCAGTATCTTGCCCAGTGGCACCTGGCGAATGTGAGTCTGATCAGAGCCAGGACTCAGACCCAGTCTCTCCCTTCCTCACCCAAGGCAGCAGTTCTGGGGAAGCCAGCGAGTAGTAAAATATAAAGATGGGAGGGGATATTAGGCTCTGTCTGCTTACCACAGCTGACAGGAGGCAAACTAGCAGCAGAGGGAATAAAATGAAGTGGGAAGAGAGAGCAAAAACTGGGTAAACGTTGTGTTTCATTCATTCTGCTTTGTACTAGATATTTGGCTTTAAAAAACAAATACTATTACTATGTTATTACATGTCATTATAGGATATACTAATAATAACTTATTATAATTACCTTCTCTATAAATACCAGTTAAATACATCTCTAGGGCTTTTTAGCTTTTAATTCCTAAATTTCTTAAATTGCCCAAATTGCTGGGTCAGATGTGCTGCCCAAAGAGTGAGCACTAACTCACTTGGTGACAGCAGCTAGCAGCACAAAGGCGCTTTTCTGTCTAAGGCAGGCAACCAAAACCCCAGGTTACAGGTTGTGCTTCCAAACCCAGGCCAGTAGAGTGAGTCCTCTAAGGCATTTAAAGAATGATAAAACTTACAAAAGTTAAGCTAGCCACTATTGGGTAAAAGTGGCGGTATAATTAAAACTTAGTATTGGATTTTAGATTTCTGTACATGAAAACAGAATAATTTGCCATTATGATAAAATTTAAAAGGTTGTGAAAATTTGGCATCATTTATATTATGGAATTTATTCAAAAGCTGTTATGAAAACAAAAAAATAATAAAAAAGAAGTAGGTGCCCACCAATTTAAGAATGATATGTGAAAATAATGAAATATTTTGTTATAAGAAATAAATACAAGAAATTCAGAAAATACTGGGAAAATTCATATGAACAGTGAAGAAAGCAGAACCAGGAAAAAAAAGTATGCAAAAACCCCATAAAAACATTACAAAGCAGCTGAAGTCAGACTAAAAACCATGATGAATCTTTGTCCCAAAGAACAGATAATAAAACCCACTTCTCCCCAGACTGTAAAGAGGTAGAAGACGCTTAGAACAGAACCTTGCGTATGACCTTCAGTCATGAGCCGAATGTTGGCCCATTTTGATTAAACACTTTTCTTTGTTTGAAGGAAAATTCAATTGAGGGAGTAACATCAGGAAATACTTAATGGAAAAACTAAGAAGAAACTTGGGGGAAAGGTGGAGGTGGTAGAAATGTTAGCCCTACACAACTAACACTGATGTTTCAAGGTCAAGATGGTATTTTCTGCAAAGCAACCCTGTGAAGTCGATAGTATCATTATTAACCTCCTCATCTTGAGGAGTAAATTAAAGTTCTATGCTTCTATGTGGATGGCTCATGTCATACTTGACCAAGGAAAGGCAGCATGGTGAAGTGGAAAGAGTCCTAGACTGGAAACAAAGAACACAGGTGGGAATCCTGTCTCTTCTGCTTACCAGCCAGATGACCTTGGGCAGCTCGCTAAGCCTTTCTGAGCCTCAGTTCTCCAGCTGTAAAATGAGAAGGTTGAGCAGATGGTCCCGATAGTCCTTTCCAACTTTAAATCCATCATTTTATCATCTATGAGCCGTTAAACAAATGAAATACAATCTAGCCAGCAGTATGTGCCGGGCACCACATTAGGTGCTGGGGAGACAAATACAAAAAAGAGATTGTGTCTGCCTTCAAGAAGTTTATGTTTTAGTGGGCAGTGACAACAGATTTGAGGAACGGTAACCAGGAAGAACTTGGTTTGGGAAGTCAGAGGAATGGTGAGTGGAATCTAAGAGGCTTTATCAATATATACTTTCCTGTAGCAATGATGGTATTTTTTTTTAATGGTTCTAGAGCAGGAGGGGGAGGGCAATGTATAGTGGGCAGATGGCAACGTCCAGGCTCCTGTATTGTACAGCAGGACAGAGGAAAAGAAAATGGCCAGGTTAGTGTGGGAAGCTTGGCTGGGGCTAAGCTGATACACAGAGGCTGGGGGTGAGCTAACCAATCCATACAGATGGGGTCTTATAGTGCCAGGCCCTGAGCTGAGACAGTGTGACAGTGGGTATGTGATGGCAAAGTCTAGTGATGTGGGGAATGTGGTAGCAAGTAGAAAAGACACAAAGGAAATGGCTGTGGAATATGTGAACCATGGCTGAGGCCAGCTAGATTTGGTGACCCAAACGTAGTGAATCCTTTGATCACATGATCCAAATTAGCAAGTGGTGGAACCAGGATTTGAACAAAAATAAATTTTATGTATTGTGATATAAAGAAGACAATGTGGGGATGCTTGAAAGGCAAGAAATATTTTTGGAACTATTATAGCAAAAATCACCTTTCAAGTCAAGTCAATAAGCATTTATTAAGCCCCTACCATGTTCCAGGCCTAGGCACTGTGGACACAAAAGCAGAAAAAGTCCCTGCTTTCAAAAAGCTCACATTTAATGGTGGAGATGACAGTAAGTAACTATATACAAACAAGCTATGGACAGGAAAACTTGGGATAATCCCAGAGGAAAGGCACTGGCATGAAGGGAAATCAGGAGAGGCTTTTTTGCTGAAGGCAGGATTTGATCTGAGACTGGAAAGAAGTCAGAAAAACCAGGAGAGAGACAAGGAGGGAGAGAATTCCAGGCATAGGCATCAGCCAGTGAAAATGACCAGAGGATGAAGATGAGTCTTGGAGGAGGAAGAGCAAGGAGGCCCATGGCACTAGACTGTAGTGAACCTGGAGAATAGGGTATAAGAAGGCTGGAAAAGTAAGAAGGGGTCAGGATATGAACATTCTTCCTAAAGGGGAGAACAAATGCCCTTTTGTTTCCCCAAATCACCAAACTGAAAGTCATCTTAACAGTAGGTAATGTATACAATCCATCCTCAATTATCTTTGTTACAGGAAGATGGTGACAATGATGTATCAAATCTGAACTATTAGGCAATTTTAAAGATTGTTTGGTATTTGATTGTACATACATTTGAAAAATTCTAATATCTTTGGAATTTTCTTCCAACAAAATAAAATGACATGAAAGAAATGCAACTTAGAAGAGTCTGACCTCCTGAGTAAAGTTCTTGCTTGTCTTGATTACTTCCCCTACCACCACCAAAAAAAAAATCACTTTCAACTTACTCATTTTTGTTCTCTAAATATGCTGTGGCTATCCTGACGTTGTATTTAAAGTCTGAGATCCCCAATGTGAGTAACTAAAGGATTTTAACAATATGAGAACTTAAGACACCCCCCCCCCAGTTTCTTCTCCATAAAACTGTTACCTAGGTCAGGTCGTTTAGTTGATATAATATTAGCTTTAAAATATGTTTGTTGAATTGAAATTTGTTGTGGATAATCTGTTCACTCATAACTGAGCATTGACTTTTTTTCTGTGTGTATTTTAAAACTATATACAATGAATTTCTGGAGTGAAAGATATCTAAAAGAATTCTAGATTTTCTTTTAAAAAGTTTTTTAAAAAAGCAGTTATGTGTAGTGTGGGGAACATGCAGAAGTTGCAAAAGACGTACGGTGTAAAGCAAAAAAAAGCAGAAACAGGAGTACAGTATACAAGAGTGTGGCTTTTTTTTTTTTAAAGCACAAGTATACGTCTGGGCATAGACATGGAATTATGCAACAGAGATAGAAAGGTTATAGAGAGAGTTATTAAAAAGTTGACATTAATATCTGTAGGCTTAAGTATGTCTTGTTATAAAATTGGTCAGCCACAAAATAAAACATATGTAGTTATAACTAATACTTTTTTTTAGTCATAAAACAAGAATTTCTAGGAATTCAGAGCAAATGGCTGAAGAGGGAATTTAGCTGGTAGTCATTGTAACAAAAACTAGCTGTGTGGGTTAGCAAAGCAACTGGCTGAAAAAAGAAACAGTTATCTTAAGGACCACATGGGGCCCATAGCCCAAAGGGTAGGCTAAGGAATCTCTTATCAGAAAGAACACACTTCCTGGCCCAACTGAGCCCAAGCTCATCACAAACAACCAGGCAGCCCAACCTGAAGCTTCTCTCAGAATCCTCTCAATGCTAAACCAAGACAGGAGCAGGAACCCTCCAGAGAAACTGTTAGAGATACTCTCTCTCAGTTTACTCAAATACCCAAATGTCTTAATCAGTGCAATTTGCTTCCATTAGGCAAATGCTTTAATTCTATAACCTTGAAATATGTATTTCAAATTACTGGAGCAGTTGTCTGAATGCCTGGAAGGAAGGTCAGTAATAAGAAGTAAGTTCTTTGTGGATAAAGATTACTTGTTGTAGCTATTTCTTTGTAAGTAGTTAATTAAAATGAAAAGCTACTCCAACATACAGATGATACCTAAAAATCACTAAGAAAGAGCTTGAAGTTGCTATGTGAATCACATACTGAACTATGTGTCTATTCAGCAGTAAGTAAATGTGTGATATATCTAAGTTTACAGTATGCTATAATGATTATCAAACCTGAACGCAAGAGAGGCAGCATGGTTGGGTGGAAAGAGCATTAAATTTGTAATCAGGATAAGAGTTCAAATCCTGACTTGGTCATTTATCATCTGTGTTACAAGTAAGACACAAATTCTCTCAGCCTCAGATTTCTCCTTGGCAAAATAAAGGTATCAGAGATTTCGAAAGCACTTCCTGCTAAGGGATTCCAAGCAAATCCTTTTAAAAAATACATTTTGTTCAAAGGGCAAGGATTTATAAGCCTGAATGGAACTGACTGAACTATAAAAATCCATGAAACGAAAATTCAAGTGCAGAGTAGCACCAAAGGCAGAGGCAGCTGCATTCTCAGCTCAGTGTAGGGGACAGAAGATGGGATTCCAATCCCAGCTCAGAGGCTTCATAGCCAGGGCACAGGGAAGCTGTCTTATCTCCTCTGGGCGGTGCTTTCTTCATTTGTGAAAAGGAGACAAAATAGTGGCTCTTCCTATCTCCCAAGGTTGTAGTAGAAGAGCTTCTTAAACCTTCATTCACCATAGAAATGGGAGCTGCTACTACTTAATACTGGGCAAAAAAAAGACAAAATAATCCATTTTCTTGCCTGGTGCCAGCCTGCCCATATCAGTAGAGATGTTGCTTTTTAGCTGTTAAAGTGTTTCATACTGTGAGCTATAAAGAGCTGACAACAGGTTCCTAATGTCTTAGTAAGCACTTTCGACAGTTAAAAAAAAAACAACAAACCTCAATAATTAATTTAGAAATTGTTTTAATTCAGAAATGCCATGATTTACAATTATTATCTTTTTTGATCCTCACAACAACCCTGTGAGGTAGAGTGATTGTTATGTCCATTTTACTGATGAAAAAACTGAAGCACAGAGAGGTTAAGGGACTTGCCCAGGGTCACATAGCTAATAAATGTCTCCAGAAGGATTTGAACTGAGGTCTTCTAACTCCAGGTCCTGCACACCATCCACTGCATCTGCACCAAGCAGCTGCCTATAACGTCTCCCAAGAATTAAAGCTATGGAGCACTGAAAGGGCAATGGAGAGACAGGCTGCCACCTGGACCAGGTGAGGGAGAAGCCCATGAATGAGCCCACAGAACCAGAAAAGCGTTCAAGGATCTGGCTCTGTGGCAACTGTTCTATCTACCAGTTTGGCTTTCCCCAGATGAGGAACAGGAGATGGCAAGATAAAAAGAGAATTATAAAAGTGGTGTTTTAGGAAAACTCATCTGCTGTTGATATGCAGGTTCGTTTGGAAGAGGGAAAGGATTAGAAGTAGGGGTTTTAGTTAGGATGATCTAATAACTTTGTATAGGAAGCAGCTGACTGGTACAGGGGGTAGAGCGATGGACTTGGAGGCAGGAAGACCTGAGTTCAAACTGCCCTACACACTTACAAAAGGTAGTCATATAACCGTCCTCATCCTCAGTTTCCTCATCTATAAAATGGGGACAATAACAGCACCTACCTCTCATCACTGTGAGGATGAAATGAGATATTTCCACTCTGCAAATCTTAAAGCGTTACATGAATGTTTGCTACCATTATCATTATGATTACTCTTTTTAGTCAAGAAGGCAGCCAAACTTGGATGCATACAAGGACCCAAGACAATTCCAAAGAACCCATGATAAAAAATGCTCTCTACCTCCAGAGAAACTGATACAGACTGAAGCAGATGGGTTTTTTTTTTACTTTCTTTATGTTTCTTGTTTTTCTTTTTTTTTTCAACATGGCTGATATGGAAGTATATTTTGCATGACTTCACATATACAATCAATATATTGCTAGCCTTCTCAACAGGCAGGGGAGGGGGCAGGAAGCAGGGAGAGAATATGAAACTCAAAAAAATTTTTTAAAAAAAGTTAAAAATAAATAATAAAAAATTTTTAAAAAATTTTAAAAAGGGCAGCCAGAATGAGTTAGGATGATGTTTCTAAGGGTTATATTAGGTAACAGCTTTTTTGGGGGGGCAGTGTTTACTGGTCTAGGACAAGTGTGGTTTTCATAGGTCTCCATTAAGGAGAAATAATCAATGAGACAACATTGACATGATCTTCTGTCAAGGGTGGTAGAAGCCGACCTAAATAAGAGAGGACTTGGGTTATTTGGAAGAAAGGATAAGCAAAACTCAGTAACCAAATAAGAGATACAAAAGAGAGAAGGGGGCAGCTAAGTGGCAAAGTGGATAGAGTTCTGGCCTTGGAGTCTGGAGGACCTGAGTTCAAATCCGGCCTCAGACAGTTGACACTTACTACCTGTGTGACCCTGGGCAAATCACAACCCTGACTGCCTCACCAAAAGGCAAAAAAAAAAAAAGGAAGAAAGAAAGAAAGAGAAGGGGGTGGGGGGGAAGGATCAGAGCCTGGATGGCTAGAATGATGATGCCACTGACAAAATTAGGGAAGTCAAAAACAAAAAGAGAGAAAAAATAGTTTAATTTTCTTCTTAATGGTATTATTCAACTACAGCTTACATTGCTATCTCTTATGTTCAAAAGTAGGAATACTAAACTTTTCTATAATTCAGAGTTCCTTTAGTCAGGCTAGACCAGCATCACCCTGCCCCCCAAAACTTCAAATAGCAGAGCTTTTAACAGCACTATTATAAAAGATTCCCATTCACATTAATGATTTTTCTGGTGCTCATAGTTAGGGATCCCTTAAGCAGGGAGCTAATTTATTTGGTTTACTGCCCTATTTCTATGGAATTCTGAATTTAATAATAATCTTATTAAGCTATACCAAAATATTCTTTTTTTATAATTAGAATACATAAAACTCTTTAGATTTCTCTAAGAAAAATATATAAAAATTTAGAGGCATATTCTCAATTAATAGATATAGACTGCTTTGGAACTACCAGGTTGGGATAAATCAATCCCTATCCTTCTACCTGGCTACTTGGTTCATGAAAAGCTCTTGTGTCAGGGTGGATCAGACCCAAAGGCAGCTATTCTAGGTCCCTAAGTGGGCTCTGGCTCTAAAAAGGATCTCTAGCCATCGTCTCTGAGGCTCCCAGAATAAAAAAATCAGTTGTCATCGTTTCATTTTTCAGTCATGTCTGACTCTTCATGATCCCATTTGGGGCTTTCTTGGCAAAGATTCTAGAGTAGTTTGCCATTTCCTTCTCCAGGTCATTTTACAGATGAGGAAACTGAGGTAAAGAAGGTTAAGTGACTTGCCTAGAGTCACACAGCTAGTTAATGCCTGACAGCAGATTTGAACTCAGGTCCTCCTAACTCCAGATCTGGTACTCTATACACTGCCCCACTTAGCTGCCCCCACCCCCCAAAATAACAGGATAATAGAAGACCAGAGCTTTGAGGCCACAGGATGGTTACTTAAAAGGGGATTTTGAGATAAATTCTTAGGAGGAGTCTGGAGGTTACTCACGTTTAAGTCAAAACCTAGACTAAGTCAGTCAGGAAATAAGCATTTATCAAGAGCTTACTATGTGTCAGGCATTGTACTAAATGCAAGAGATACAAAGAAAGGCAAAAATATAGTGCATGCCCTCAAGGAGCTTTTTCTAGGGAAGATGATAAGCAAATAACTGTATATTCAAGTTATATGCAATGGGAATGGAAGGTAACCCTAGAGTGTAGGCACTAGCAGTGGGAGGGTATTGTGGGGAAGAATGGTAAAAGTCTCTTACAAGAAGGTGGAATTTGAGTTGATTCTCAAAGGAAGCTGAGGAAATCAAGAGGCAGAGTTAGGAAGGAGAACATTTCAGGCATGAAGGATAGTCTGTGAAAAGGCATGGAGTTAGAAGATGGAACAAGTAGACCAGTACATCTGAATCATAGAATGTGTGGAGATTAAAGTGTAACAACATTGGAAAGGCAGCAAGGGGCTTGCTTTATAAATCAAACAGAGAATTTTATATTTGATCCTGGAGAGAGTTGCTGGAGTTTACGGAGTAAAGGGAGAAATACGGTCAGATCCTTCATTTATATAAATCGCTTTGACAGGTGAATGGGGGATGGACTGGGGTGGGGAGACACCTGAGGGAGGAAGACAAACCAGAAAGCTGCTGCAGTTGTCTCTACATAAGGTGATGTGTGAGAAGAGACAAGGCAACGTGTTTAAGAGAGGTCATGAAGGTGGAGATAACAAGACTGGCAACATCTTGAATGGGTGAACTGAGGGTGGGACAAGAGGCAAGGATGACACCTGGCTGTGTCCTCAGCAATCATAAGTAAGAAAGAGAAGAGGGTGTGGAGGGAAAGACAATGAGTTCTGTCTGGGGTTATGTTGATGTTGAGATGCCTACGAGGCATCCAGTTCAAAACGTCCAAGGCAGCTCGTCATGTGAGACTGGAACTGATAATTGAAGTACTGATAAGATCACCAAACAAGAGAAGAGGTACAAGGTGAGACCTGGATGAAGATCCAGCCAAGGAGACTGGTGGGAAGGAATGGCTAGACAGGTAAGAAGAGAACCAGGGTCACAAAAAAAACTAGAGCAAAAAGAGTACACAGAACAAGGGGGTGATTGAAAGTCAAAGGCTGCGGAGGCTTCGAGAAGAACGAATACTGAGAAAAGGCCATTAGAGTTGGCAATGAGGAGATTACTGGTAACTTTTGAGAGAGCAGTTTCAGCTGAATGGTGAGATCAGAGGGTTTAGAATCCAGTGAGGAAGAGGAAGTAGAGGCAGCGAGTACAGATGAGTAGGGGAGGAGAGATACAGGACCTCAGATAGTAGGGATAGTCAGAGTAAGAAGGATTTTTAAGGACAGGGGATACATGGGTGTATTTATAAGCAGAAAGGAAGAAGCCAATAGATAGGGAAGGGTTGAAAACTACAAAGAAAGGGTAGAGATAAGGATAGTTGTAATTGTGCTAGTGAAGATAGAGGGGATGGGACCACTTGTACATGTACAAGGGTTTGTCTTGGCAAGGAAAGGGGGAAAGGGATCTTGGGGGAAGACATCTGAGTGATGTGAGATATGGACAAGGGGAGAAGAGGGAACTCTCAGTGAATGGCCTCCATTTTTTGATAGGGAATGAGGCAAGCTGCATGTCTACAGTCAATGCTAATGTGGAGAGAAAGGTGGGAGGGAATAGCAGGTGGGAGGGTAGGGCCTGGGGCCCTTTAGGCCAGAGGAATGCTTCAGACCCAAAGAAGTTTTTAGCCAAGTTGAAAAAGAGATAGCAACGCAACGTGTGAAAAAATAGGGCTTCTGTCATTTCTTATACTGAAGATGAGATTACATTTCTGGCTGAGACTCCAGAATGGGCAGAGAGCTTGAGTTTGAAAATACTTTTTCTGAGGGAAGAATCTCTATAATGTTCTGAGAAGGCACATTGTAAAAATAAAACCATAGTGTAGTTTGATACAATTATTTCCACAGAAATACAAAGGGAAGATAACCTCCTCAGGAAAGAGCTTCAGAGGGAGCCCAGGAATGGTCTCATGCAGAAGGTCGGGTTTCAGCTTAGTCTTGAAGGAAGCCAGGGGAGAAAAGGCTGAGGTCAGGAGGGAGAGCATTCCAGGCACAGAGGACAGCCAGAGCAAAGACCTGGAGCCAGGAGATGAAGGGCTATGTGTGAGAGACAGCAAGAAGCGTCACTGGATCACAGAGTATGTGGAGATGAGGGAAGTACAAGATTGAAAAAGCTTACAATCCTGATTTATACATATCCCCTCTGATGGGATCCTGATACAGTGGGAAGAGACTGGACTTAAAGTCAGTGTGTGTGTGTGTGTGTGTGTGTGTGTGTGTGTGTGTGTGTGTGTGCATGTGTGTGTGTGTGGTGTGTTTGCATGTGTGTACATGTACACGTACAGGCACATGCATGAACATGGACAACTTCTGTTTTCATATAAAGTATGGTTTCCTTTCTTCAGCGTGGTCATCTGATGGGATGGTGGCTTTAAGGATTGTTCCACAATAACCACTAAATCTCCTTCCTGGTCTGCACACTACATAATTGTTCTATTTGAAACATACTATTTTGGTTTGCTGTGTCAGATTTACTACTTTGACAAATGTTGGCATTTTTTGGTGCTTCAAGTAACCCCAAATATCTGAGTCATTCACAAGCTGGCGATGTTATTACTTACTACCATTCATACCAGTTTGGGCACAGCCTTTTAATTGCTAACAAGTTCTCACCCAAACCATTTGTTATAGTCCAAAAAAATGCAAATTTTCAAGTTCCACATAATGGACACACTACATTTGCATGTTGTCATTAATCATTTTAAATCAAAGGCCATGATTCAATTCTTTTGCATGGAATTTAGGGCAATCCAAAGTGTTTAAAGGCAGCCCTAAGTAAATGACATGAAAGAAGCTATCGGCTCTGATTCTTATAATCTAGCCACTATTCTTAGAATCTAGCCAATCCCTCTCAGACTCCCAGATTCCTGAAGAGTCTGGCTAATATAGCGGGTCTTTAATAAACCTTGTCTTTGGCTGAAAAAAAAAAGAAGCTATCAAAAATGCAAAAGGAAAAATGCAAAACAGAACAGAAAAGTTTAATAATAGCTTACATTCATATAGCACTTTCAGGTTTGCAAAGCACTTTGCAAGTATTATCTCAATGATTCCTATAACAACTCCAGGAAGTAGATATTATTATCCTCATTTTAGAGATGAGGAAACTGAGGCCAAGATAGGTTAAATGATTTGTCCAGGATCACCCAGTAAGTGTCTGAGGCAGGATATGAACTCAGAGTTTCCAGAATCCGAGTCCAGCCCCTCTATCCACTATGCTGCCCAGCTGCTAAATAATCCTGCAACTTCATACTAATTTTCAGAAAACAATCCTCCAAAATGAAAACTCCCAGGAACATCATAGTTAAAATCCAGAGTTTCAGAGTCAAAGAAAAAATACAGCAAGAAGCCAGAAAGAAAGAATCCAAGCACCAAGGAGCCAGTCAGGATCACACATGATTTAGCAGCCACCACTATAAAGGAGAAAGAACCTTAGGATATGATATTCCAGAATGATAGAGGCTTCCAGCCAAAAAACTCAATTAGAGAAACTGAGTCTAATGCTATAGAGGGAAAAGAAGATCTTTAATGCAATAGAGGACTTCCAAGTATTCTGGACAGAAAGACCACAGCTGTGTAGAAACTTTGAAGTTCAGATGAAGAAGTGAAGACAAACAGAAACAGGTAAACGTGAATGAACAATGAGAAGAGATTGAACAAGAAAAAACTGCAGATACATTCACACTTGGGGAGATGGCACATGGCTCCCCTTAGACCTCCATCATCATCAGGGGCCACATTAGACCAAGCTTGGCAGTGACTCTGTCATGTCTTGATGATCTTTAGAAAAGAACGGGAAGAAAATGGGGAGAAGACCCTGGGAGTAGGGGGAAAAGAAAGAAAGTTAAATTCTCACATAATCAGTATGTGCAAGTAGATCTCTATATAAACAAGGAAAAGGGGCACAGGGGAATGGCTGACACTTAACCTCATTCTCACTGGAACTGGTCAAAAGAAGGAAGAAGAGTGGGATTGAGAGAGAGAGGTAAGGAGGCAGAGGGGGAGGGAGGGAAGGAAGGAGAGGAGTGGGGAGAGAAAGAGAGAGAGAGAGAGAGAGAGAGAGAGAGAGATTGGATGCAAAAATATATTTGTAAATAGGAGGGAGGGGAAATGTGATGGAAGGTAGATTAAGGGAAGGATTAGTGCAGAGCAAAATAAAATCTAAGCATGTGCAAAAATATTTATAGCTTTTTGAGGTGGCAAAGAATAAGAATCTGAAGGAGTGCCCACAAATTGGGGGATGGATCTGTTGATTACTTAAATTATAAAATTACTGTTGGTTATTTAAATGGGATGGAATACTATTGTACTGATCTCTTAACCAGCATACCAACCAACCACAGTTCCATACTACCCACCTCATGATGGAGCAGTGAAGGATTCAGAATGCAGAATGAGATAAGTATTTTTTCCAACATGGCCAATATGGACACTTGTTTTGACTGACTATACATACTTATAAGGGGTTTTATTTTTCTTGTGTTCTCAATTGGAGGGTGGCAGGAAATGGTCAGGTAGGAGGGTGAAAAGGTGGATTTTGCTCAATTAAAACAAATAAAATATTTTCTAAAATAAAAAAATTGAAAAGGGACATATGAAATGAAGGAGTTGGAGAGATGATCCTCAGAGTCTTTCTAGATCTAAATCCTATTACTCTACTTATGGGGATCTCAATCGATTGGGGTGGGGGGAAGGAAGGGAGGAACCAAACAAAAATAATTTTGAGCTAGCCGCCCAATTTTGGCATAAATTAGCTGAGGAACTGAGGAGAAATGATTACAGTTCCTTTTTTCCTTTCCCCCAGCGAAACGATTATCTCCTCTTTAGTTCAACTCTCTTTGTTCATTTCCTCCTAGGAGTTCTTCTGGATACTTGCTAGGTCACAGATCTCCCAAAACCAATAAAGCTTTCAGGATAAACAAAGCTCCCTATGCTCTCCGGAGGCAGAATTCTCCCCAGCAGGAAGTCTTCTCAAATGACCCCAGAGGACATCCCCAGGTCTACCTGGACCTCCATTAGTAGCCTTTTCTCTTTTTATCCTCTAAGTAATACGTAAATGAAAGCTAATGATAACCACTCAATATTGGATAAGGGAGGGCCAGAAGATGAATAAGAAAAGATGATTAATAAGAGAAAGCCAGAAGCTGACCAAAGGCTCATGGGATTTTAGAGCTGGGAGAGATCATCTAGTCTAACCCTTTCATTCTACAGAGGAATAAACTGAGGCCAAGAGAGGTCAAAAGCTAGCTGGGGTCGGAGCTGGCCCCATCCTGACATCCACATGCAGAGCAGCACCAGGCACCTGGGGCACTTTGAGGTTCTTCTAAGCATTTCCACACGTTGTGTTACCTGATCTGGACAGCATCCCTGTGGGGAAGCAGGGCAGGTCTTACACTCATCACAGAGACTGGAAAAAGAAGACACAGTTCAAATGCATCTGATCTGATCCAACAAACCTTTCTTACACGCTTACTCTGAGCACCACACTGTGCTGGGGACACACAGACAAAAAGGCAACAGTGCCTGCCCTCAAGGACCTTGTGTTCTTTTGGGGAGAAATTAATATAATGAGAAAGGTGAAAAGCCCTGGAAATAGAGACAGAGGTCTGCCACTGAGCCAGGCATGTGATGCTGGGCACCTTATTTCACCGTGGACCCTTGATTTCTTCATGAAGCCTCCATCAAGAGGAGGCTGTACTGGATTACCTCTAATGCCCTCTCTAGCAATAACAATTTAATAATCATTTTAAATGCATTCTTGATCATATTAGTTGAAGTATTCTCTGCTTACATAAACCCAATAGTAAAAAAAAAAATCCAAGTGTACAAAACATCTAAAGAAAAACAAGCATTTATTAAGCGCTTACTATGTGCCAGGCACAGTAATTAATTTTACAAAAAGATTAATCGTGGGGTTATTTTAAAAGGCAAACATGCTTAGCACATTTAAGACATGATTTTGATAAAAGTCCTCTCTTTAAAAAAAAAAGACTCACAAAACTTAAGTTATATAACTATTCTTCCTAAGAATAAGCAAGTCTTTGTTATTTGTGTGGAACAGTAATCCCCCCCCCTAAAAAAAATGCAAATGCAGATAAACTAAAACCCTCTTTCATTACCAAGGGCAGGGGAAAAACGTAGCTACAGGAGCAACCATGCCGAACACATGCATGCCACAGTCACAACTTGGCTAGATGGCACAAAACTCTAATGACACAGACCTGGCATGATAGAAGTTCAGATATATAAAAGATATCTAAATGCCCTGTTCCAAGCACTGTACTTGGCACTGGAAGAGATAAAATTTGGATAAGACCTAGCTCTGGCTCTGCCTTCAAGTTTAGAGCCTAAAAGAGAGAAAGAAAAACATCAAGACAATCATATTACACGATAAGTCATATATGAGGTCTGAGGGGGAAAGGGACAAGCTTTCTGGAAGAGATGCATTTGACTTGGGCTTTTAAAGGCTAGGGAGGTATTCAGGTGGAAAAGACAGGGAAGGGGAATAGACTGAAGTTTCATTTGGGAATGACCCAAAGCAAGGTGAAGTGCAGAGTGTATTCAGTGAGCAAAGTAGTTCAGGTTTGCTGAAGCATGGAAAATAGCCTTAAGATATGGCTGGTAAGAGACGGGGGCCAGATTGCACAGGGTGTTGATGCCAGGTTAAGAAATCCAAGCAAAAGGGAGCTATTGAATATTTCTGAGCAAGAAGATTTTCGCAGAGAAACAATGGTAAGTTTGAAGCCTCTTCGTGGGTCACTACCAAGTTTGGTGATCAAATGTCAAGACACTGAGGATGATTAAATAGGCGTCATCAAGAGCTGCCTGCATATACTTTATTTTTTCCCTTCCTTAAGCGACTTGCCCAAGTCCATGGATAACAGTGATGAGTGGATGCTGAGCGGGTGGTGAAGTCCTTGCTGCAATCAGAACAATTCAGAAATGACTGCACAGGGGGAAATAAAGGTAAGAGGGCACCATTCCCTGGAGAAGATTTGGGACAGTTATTACCTGGTGTTGATGGTCATCTGGCAAAGAAACATTTCTAGGAAACAAAACAACCATGCAAGGAGCAATTTTAGACAAGTCATCTCCCACCCCCACCTGCACCCCCCTACCCCCGGTTAGAAGCTCTTTCTTGGCTTTTCTAATAAGGAATCATTTCATCTAAGTGTCCCTGGTTAAAACAGAAACATAGGAGCTCCCTGGGGAAAGGAAAATCAGGCACGAAGGTAGGAAACAATGAGATTCTGGCTTCCCCCCAGAAGCTTAAATGAATCCACAAAGGAAAACTAGACTTGACAGTTTCATGCCACTAAATAGCCGTATGGCAAAAGTTTGCATTAGGGGCTGCTAGGTGGTGACATAGTGCACGAAATGCTGGTCCTGGAGTCAGGAAGACAACTCTCTAAGTTCAAATCTGGCCTCAGACACTTACTGGCTATATGAGCAAGTCACTTAACCCTGTTTGCCTCAGTTTCCTCATCTGTAAAATGAGCTGGAGAAGCAAAAGCAAAACACTCCAGTATCTTTGCCAAGAAAATCTCAAATGAAATACATTTAATATGACTGTACATGTATAACCTATATCAGATTGCTTGCTGTCTTGGGGAGGGGGGAGAGAAGGGAAGGAGGGAGATGAAAATTTGGAACTCAAAATCTTATAGAAGTGAATTTTGAAGACTATCTTTATGTGTAATTGGAAAACAGTAAAATAATATTGAGTGGGGAAAAAAAGAAGAGGATTCAATATAAAAACATGAATTTCCATTTCAGTTTACTTTTTTGAAAAACTATGTAATAAATACTATACATCATTTTCAAAGCTAAAAAATAATTCCCAAATGGGGTCATGAAGAGTCGAACATGACAGAAAATGACTGAACAAACGGCAAAATAGATAGAGCTTGGTTTATTTGGTATAACTCTGTACCTTATTAGTTGGCTATTATGGTGATAGAATTATAGGCTAGATGACCCAAGGAGAGAGATTAACACCCAACAAAACACGGTGAATTTATTTAAATAAATATAAAATTCATTTCTCAGACTTTTTTTTTTTGAAAAGTTAAAAATTCCTTAATTTTTTATTCCTGGTACCACTGCCACAACTTACAGGGCAATATACCTGATGTAATGAAAAGAAAAAGAAAAGACAAAGCTACAACAGATAAAAGACCTCAGGAATGTACAGCTAATTGACACTACATTGCATTAATCAATAGCTGCACTTTTTGCAAACTGTGGCTATGACAGTCCTGAACAAGAAGGGTTTCCTGTTTGAGCTGCAGTAACTTTACTG